GCCGATCAAAGCCGTTAGGAAAGGTGTCAAGCAAGGATCAGCATTCCCCGCCGTGGATCTGCCGTTGCGACAGGAGGAGTACCAAACGGCGCCGGTGGTGCAGGGGTAAGCGTGATTACCTCTCACCCCAGCAGGCCTGGGTTCAATCCCAGTCGGCGCCGCCGGGATGTTCTGAGGCATAACATCTCTGATCACGCCTTCCTTCGGATGGGAAGTAAAGCCGTTGGTCCCCGGTTCATGAGTTGATGGGTCGATAGGTAGGGTCCAGGTGTGGTACCAAGCTGCGGGAACAATTTTCTGGAAGGCGGTTCAGGCAGACGAGTTTGGTGAAGAACAAGGATTCGACAGCACAGGAAATGTCACTTGAGAGGTCGAGTAAGCCGTATAGTCTTGCGCCGTTCCCCGATGAGGATGGTGCCGTGCGGATGGAAGGTCATACTGAAGTGATGGAATATGTGGCGTTTGATGCGAGGGTTCCGATCATTTTGCCGAAGGTGGTGACCCGAAGGTTGATGGAACACTACCATTGCCAGTGTGTGCGCAGCAGCAGTGAAACCGTTGTGAACGAAGTTCGGCAGCGGTTCTACATTCCGTGTCTCCAAATGCGCTAGTAGATCAAGTAATGCGAGCCTGTGTGTGGTGCAAGCCAATTGATCCGAGAATGGCACCCTTACCAGGGCAGCGTTTGGTGGGGATGGTCGATCCGTTTTCGTACGTCGCCATAGACTAGCTTTGTCCACTGGAAGTGTCTATTGGCCGAAGGAAGGAAACACGATGGGTGACACTTTGGAGGTGGAGTACAGCCTGAGCCTGGCGATCAGGAGGTTCGTGAAGCGGCGCAGCAGTCCGATCGAAATCCTTTCGGATAACGGCACGAACTTTGTCGGTGCCAGTCGAGATCTGCTGAAGGAAATCAGTCTAGCGTGTGCGGATACGCTCGGTGAAAGAGACACTGAGAACGTTCACCGGTGATCGGAAGCTGACGGCACTGATCGAGGCGGAGAACCTGATCAACTCTCGTCCACTCATCTACGTCTCCACCAAAGTGAAGGAAGACAAGGACGCGTTGACGCCGAACCACTTTTTGTGCGGTCGTTCATCGATCGAGCGTCTGCCGTCGAGGAATCCGGTTGATCTGGTCAACACGTTGCGTAGTAGCTACAATCGCGCTCAGTTCTTGGCGGATGAATTCTGGGATCGTTGGCAGACGGAATACGTTCCGATGTTAAACAAGAGGTCCAAGTGGTGCGTGGATCAGCGGCAAGTGGCTGTTGGAGATTTGCTGATCGTGGCAGATGGAGATAAGTGGAACGTCTGGGAGCGAGACGTGGATAAAGGTGTTCGTAAGGAATGACGGAAGAGTTCGCTCAGCGTCCGTTCAGACAAGCAGAGGTGAGAAGGTCAGACCGATAGCGAAGCTAGTTGTTCTAAAGGTAACTTCGAAGGAGGAAACCCCGTAATTGCTCTGAAGTTTACGGAACTTTTCTCAAACTCTTCCTGAATTATCTCAATGCTTCACTAATTTCCAGACGCTCCTCGGAGCTACTTTAAAGTTCCTGCAATTTACTTGAAGCTAATGGAACTGCCCTGAGGGTTTTTTATGTTCCCTGATGCTCTTGAAGCTTTCCTGAAGTTCTCGCAACTCTCTTGCCCAGAAACTAATAAAACTGTCTTAAAAATCTTAAAAGTTCCGTTTCCTAGTCTACTGTTAAATTCCTGATAATTTTTTGAAAATTTCAAAAATTCTCAGCTCACTTTTATAGGTCTTTAACCCTCCGTTACTCGCGCTGTTGTACTTTGTACAACACACATGAATGTAAATGTATTCGGCAAAGTTTTTCAGGAAGTCAATAGCAGGAAGTCAATAGCTCGGGATCTTGATCAGCTAGAAAGTTGCTGTCTTCGGCAAAGTTGTTCAGGGTTTCAAGACTTTTTGGCTGGTAAACAGTAGTTAAGATTTTTCTCACCACGTGGAGTTAGTATACATGTACACTTCTCGTATATGCTAAATTCTAGGCTACTGTTCACCAGCCAAAAAGTCTTGACCCCCTGAACAAGTTTGCCGAAAACAGTAACTTTCCATCTGCTCAGGATCTCGAGCTATTGTATATGCGCGAATTGCATGTGTATACTAGCACCGAGTAGTGAGAAAATTCTGATCAACTGTCCACCAACGAAAAGATCTTGACTTCTTGAAAAACTTTGCCAAATACATTTACTCTCTATCTGGTCAGGATCTAGTGATGTATGCGAGAACTTAACATGTATACGAGTACTACCTAGTGGATTGATTGGTTTATCTTTATTAAGGAGGCTTTCAGTCTGAGGCTGGTTCGCCTCCAAAGCACTACCTAGTTAGAAGATTCTGAACTAGTGTTAATCAGCAAACAGGCTATGATCTCCTGAACAGCTTTGCCTTTCTATCTGGTCAGGATCCCGAGATATTGTATATGATAATTTCACGTGTATACTAGCGCCGTGTAGTGAGAAAATTCTGAACTACTGTCTACCAGCCAAAAATACTTGACCACCTGAACAAGTTTGCCGAAGACAGTATCTTTCTATCTGCTCAGGATCTCGAGCTATTGTATATCCGAAAATTGCACGTATATACTAGAGCCACGTAGTGAGAATTTTCTGAAACAACCCCACCAACGAAAAGATCTTGACTTCCTGAAAAACTTTGCCGAAGACAGTAACTTTTTATATGGTAAGGATCAAGAGATATTTTATATTTGCGAGAATTTTTGCATGTATACTAGCGCCGCGAAGGGAGAAAACTCTGAACTACTGTCCACCAACGAAAAGGCCTTGACCTTCTGAACAACTTTGTCGACGATAGTAACTTTCTATCTGGTCATGACCTCGAGATATATCACATGCGATAATTTCACATGTATTCTAGCGCTACGTAGTGAGAAAATTCTGAACTACTCTCAACCAGCAAAAAGATTATGATCTCTAGAAAAACTTTACCGAAAACAGTAACTTTCTATCTTGTCAGAATCTCGAGATGTTCCATGTTGTAACCAATTAAGTCAAATCCCCTCGTAGTACGGACACCGTTTACGCGGTTTCCATTCACATTTTCTCTATTATCCGCATTTTTTGGGGGTTAACTGTGATAAAAGTTAAGCTTGTTTAGTTAAAAACAAGTTTTTTAATGAATACCCGTTGGTTTCATATCGATTGGTAGCTCGTCTGCAAAATGGCAATGGAAAACTCACGCTGTTGTACAAAGTACAACGCGCGAGTACTCGTGTTACAAAAGTTGACGCGAGTAACGGAGGGTTAAACAACTCCAAAAGTATAGACATCTCTTAAGCTCTGTAAACTTTCCTGAAGTTATCGAAACTGCCCTAAAGATCATCCTGAAGCTCTTGGAACTTTTTTTCATCTCCCTACAATTTACCTCAAGTTTTCTGAACTTCCTTTAATTTCTCCAAATATCCCTGAAACTTCCTGAAACTCTCTTTAGTTAACGAAACCGCCTTGAATTTTTCGAAACTTCTCCTAAGTCCCGGAAGTATTGCAGAAGTTTACGCATAAATACAAAAATACATATCTCCAAAATGATTTGTTCGATCGAGATGGTATCTTGAGCAAAATTGTGTAGGAGTATTGTGCCTTTCTAAAAAAAATATACACTGAAAAGAAATATTGTGCATATTGGTAAAAAATTTGAAAATTAAATAAACACTGAAAAAATCTCAAATTTTATGCGGAGACGAACCAGCCCACAGTTGAAAGTCTCTTTAATAAAGAAATCCAATCTAACCTAATCAAATTGAAAATGAAGTTCAAATAACGTGTAAACTACTGACATTGTGGAACTGCAAGGTTCAAGGAAATCAATTGCGCTTGTCGTTAAATATATTCTCAAGATTGGACACTCACGAATAATATTCTAAAAAGGCGAAAATTGCCCAAATTACACAATTAGTAAATTTCAAGCTATGAATGTATCGAAAATAACAACATTGAGCAATTTCAGCGTTATGAGCGTTTTTATTTTAAATTAAATGTATTTTAATATTTACACTTTTCCTAACTGTGGGCAGTATTTTCAAAAATACAACCCAAATTTGTTCATTAATTGAACAACTTAAACACATTGTCAGTAATTCACACGTTATCAGAGCTTCATTTTTAAATATATATATATTTTTAATATGCAATTTGACATATTTTAAGATTTTAATAATTTCAATTTTTTTACGAAAATACACAGTAATTTTTTCAGAGTATTTTTTCAATAGAAAGGCACAATACTGCTCCACAACTTTGCCAAAAACACCATTTCTATCAAACAAATCGTTCTCGAGATAGGTATTTTTTATTTAATGGATATCATTTTTGCATAAGCCTTTTTAAAAATCTAGTCGGGTACAATATTAAGTAACGAAATGTGTAAAGTGGCATGTTGGCCAATAACAAACAACTGTGCAAAATTCCAACTTAAAGTTTTCATTAGCCGTCAAGCGGTACCTGTAGTATAAAATTGGCATTGCACGCGAGTACTGAACTAAATTGGAAATTGTGGGTTCAAATCCCACCCGTTGCCGTTTCGCAAATTTTCTCAATACGAACGGCTCTTTTCGATCATGTTTGTTATGCTTCTCAGTATCTTCTAAATATTTTTTTCCCAACCAGCAAATAATTACATGACTTACAGTTGATCAACCTTAGAAATATAATAATGAATTGAGGTTGACAAGCCATGCGACCCAATTAAACATAAACAAATCGGACAATAAGCTGAAAATTGACCCTCATTTTACCTTTCTAGTCATCTAATTATTGGATGCTTGCTTTCAAAACGCTGACTCACAGCCATAGCCTAATCCTTGAACCATACCTTTCGAAGTAAATATCATCTAACCTAATATTTCATTTTTATGCGTGCAGTTTGTGACCTCCGGGTGGCTAAATTCAATCCTAACTCAATCGAGCAATCGAGCAATCGAGCACCAAAAAAAGAAAAAGAACTGTGTACTCACTGTGCGAGGCAAGCCATTCATTATAGTCTAGACCGGCCGGTAGATCGACCAGTAACCTCAGATCGGCATCGGGCAGCTTCCGTTCCAATACGCCCTCCTCCAGGTATAGCTTTGTGTCGCTCTGATTCGAATCGCCGTCTCGTTCCTTGCGTCGGGCTTTTCTGTAAATGTCAAGAAGAGGAGAAGAAACAAACACCAATTAGATTATCTTCCATCAGCCGTGAACGGAGGAGGAGCGGGAGGAGGCTGGATTATAAATCAAGCCGATTAAATATGATTCTTGTGCGATTGAGATTAGTTCTACCCAAGAACGTTTCGAACCGTGTTGACCTAATTTGGTGGAGCAAATCGCCCCCCCCCCCCTGCTACAGAAGAATCGAGGCCAGCTTGTGATGGAATCGTTTACGAAACTGAGCTGCGGCATTCGGCAGTAGCCTTGGAGTGGAGGGAAATAAAATGCTACGTTTATGAATCCAAAGCGAGAGAAAAATTGGGCAATACGGTATACGGCTGTAATCCGCCCGCGGCCAATGCTGCCACAGATGCTTGATTGTTAGAAGAGTAGGCAAATGCACACTCACCAAATTTACGACGATGCATCAGAACGTTGGGAAATATCCATCGTTTGGGTTTAGGGATTATTACGATTTGGGTTAAGGCAAATTAAGTAAACTAATTAACGACTGCTGGCACGGTAGCGAATTGATATGCTGCGCGGATGTTTTGCGTCTCTCGTTCTGAATGCAACAGCGCCTAATTGACTGATGATTGCGGGTGGTTTAGATTTCAAAAACTGAAATTTATGAACGTTGTTCTCTATCCGCTTGCGACACTAAACGAGTTTCGGAAAATCGCTGATTTACGATCTAGAAGAAGCAACTAGAGGCTGCTAAATTTAATTCGACGCAGATATCCAATTAGGTCACCTATCCCGACAATGGAGATTCAAATTAAAATATATGGTACAGAATTGCGTGCTCTAATCTCATCGTTATCAGCTCGGTAAACAATTGATAAAGCAATGTCATCCGAGCGTTATCGGAAGCTAACAGGAAAATTGGACCAGTAGAACGCAGTAGATCATGCGACGATGACTCTCGAAATCAAAACACTCAAAATGCTTGTAAGAATATACGGGCTAATACGCAGACTCTTGCTCTCGCTAATTGATTCAAAATAGTAAATAGGTCCGGAGGTGGCGCGATTCTACCGGACGACATTCATTGTGACGTCGTACGAGATGGTGTTTTGAGTCAAACGAGAGCTTTGTTTAGAAGTGCGATTTGCGAATTAAAAGTAAATTTACGACTCGCTGTCACGTCGGTGGTCGTTGGTCGTGCAGACCTTGACAGAAACTGGGGGCACGGCTTTGATATGTAATACCAAGTAAAGGATGTATGTGTGTGTGTATGGAAATTAAAATTATGTGCAAAGTTTTCCGCCGGTGGACTGTCGTGTGGCATTCGCACAATACAGTGGTTTAATTAAGAATCTGCCTTGAACAAAATAGTGACACTTCCTGGTCGTCCAGTTTCGATGCCGATTTATTTCAATTAACCTCTATATGTTTGAGCATGTTAAAGCAATTGTTTAAGGAACTTTCTGCACTTCGTCAACAGAAATTTCCCGCACTATGGAAACGCTCTACTATGTTCCCTGTTTTCAAGAAAGGAGACAAACGCAATGTGGAAAACTACCGTGGGATTACCTCGCTTGGGGTTGAATCTAAGTTGTTTGAGTCGCTGATAAATGAAAGATTGTTTGCTTCCTGCAAGCATTACATAAGTACATGTCAACATGGTTTCTTTCCTGGCCGATCCGTGGAAACTAATCTCGTCGGCTTTATGTCGTTCTATATGGAAAATATTTGCAAGAAACTTCAAGTGGATGTCATCTACACTGATCTTAAAGCTGCGTTTGATAGAGTTGTGCACGACGTTCTGCTATCAAAGCTTGAAAAAAATGGATGTTCTGTTTCCTTCTGCAGCTGGCTTAGATCGTACCTCGTGCAACGTGAAGTTATTGTATGCATTGGAAATTACTCATCGTACTGTTTCTCGAACAGATCAGGAGTTCCACAGGGTAGCACTTTGGGACCACTGCTCTTCTCTTTATTTGTGAACGATGCAACGTTTATTCTACTACGTGGAGGTAAATTATTTTTTGCCGATGACTTGAAGATTTACCTAGTCGTTCGAAGCTATGCTGACTGTCTAGAACTACAAAACCTTCTTGAAATCTTTAATGATTGGTGTGAACGTAATTTTATGGTCCTGTGCGTCTCAAAGTGCTGCGTAATTAATTTCCGTCGAACTAGGACTGCCGTTTTGTTTGACTATAACGTTGCTGGGACTGCAGGTCAACGTGATGAAAAGCTCACATACACTCGCCACTTCTCATCCACGATCGACAAAGCAAATCGTCAGCTTGGATTCATGTTCAAGATATCTAAGGCATTTCATGATCCTCTGTGTTTTAAAGTCCTTTACTGTTCATTGGTACGCTCACTACTGGAATTCGCGTGTGTTGTCTGGAAACCCTACCAAGCAGTATGGAGTGGACGATTCGAAGCTGTTCAACGCAAATTCGTCAGATACGCACTGCGCTATCTTCCATGGAGTGACCCGCTGAATTTACCACCGTATGCTGACCGCTATCGTTTACTGGGTTTGGATACTCTTGTTAAGCGACGAAACATATCGCAGGTCGTCTGCGTCGTTTGATGTTCCTGAGTTACTGGTCAAAATTAATCTGTATGCTCCTGCCCGAACACTCCGTCCGAGAGCCTTGCTACAGGAAGAAGTACATGCAACCTACTATGCTGCAAACAGTTCGTTTGTCGCCATGATTCATCAATTCGACGAAGTATCTGACCTATTTGACTTTGACATCAATGCATCCAGATTTCGTCGTCGTTTGCTGTCGGACAATTTTTAATGTTTAATGAGTGACTACATTTAGATTTAAGTGTTTCATTGAGACTACCAAGACTGATGCACTATAACAATAAAAATAAAAAATAAAATAAATAAAAATTCTGAAGAATTCAATGATTTATTAAATCAATGGTTTTAAATCTCTCGTTAATCGATCCATATTGAAGCCAGATTTGTTAAGGCTAAAATGATCTCAAAGAAATTTAAATGGTCTACAAATACAGCATCAAAAAGCTTCAAACCGTCAAAAGACCGCATTGAAAATACCATCAGAGATTAAGATAAAAACAAAGAGTAATACGTCCATTTTAGAATGCTTCAAAAGGCCAAAACGGCCAAAATAACCGTGAAAATTTCCTAAAATTATAAAACCATTTTGACTAAAAACGAAAAAATTCGCAACAATACCTAATATGGCTCGAACAAACGACAGACTAGCTCCAAATTTGGGCTCAATCGGACGTGATTTGAAGAGGTGCAAAGTCAGCTGTGAGTTTTTTGAAAATTGACAATCTCCGAAGGGAGTAATGCCAAATGACATAAAAATTCATGAAACGTCGAGATCTGGTGACATATCGAAAAAAAATTGTTTGTCAATAATCGATTTTCTGGGATGAACATTGATAATTTGGCCTCTAAAAATATTGACAACTATTATTTTTCCTCTGTTCGGGACCTAACACCACTGCGACCAGTAATTTGATCTATTGTAGTATATCCCGTTTCCTTAGTTTAGTGCATGTAGTATTACTCCATCACTATTGAGAAATGATGAAGTATTCGATTTTTTTTACAGTTGTCATTCTTGCATTTATCGCAAGGATCCGACTCTAATTGAAGGCCCCGCTATTTATACCCTTCGAAGTGTTGAAACACCCTCCAAAGGCGCGCCCCTTTTTTTTTTAATTCAAAATTGGGTTCCTTACTTAGCAACAAAATTAAGAAATGACACCAATAATGACCATGCATCAGAACCCTAGTCTTAACCACTTCAAACTAGAGAACAACGAATAGAAGATTAGGAATCACATAGATGAAGACTGTAAGACTAACTCATTTTTTCCTTGTTGCAAGATCATCCTTGGTGGGCAAAGTCGAGTCTGGTCACTATCAACAAGGCATAAAAAGTAAGAAGGAGTAAGATGTGTTCCTTTGATTACTAAGAAATGCAGTTCCCCTAGTTTGAAGTAGTCAGGACTAGGAATCGGTGGTAGATCTTACATCCCGTAACGTACCACGAAAAGGTGATCTACCCACGTTACGGGGTACAACAGGAGTTGCTATTCATTCTACTGGGCTTAACATCTACTGGACCGAACAAGGCTGAATGAGTCATTAGGTCGACTTGGGAAAGTGACATTATAAAGGTTGAACACGAAAAAATCCTGACATGAAAATCTTGAAACCTAACAGTATAAGCTATCCAGTGCTGCAAAATATATCTAAATCATGATGCACAAGCATGAGAAATTACTATTTGAAATTTACTGCAAAAATTCGTCACGCACCCTGTACGTTCTATTTTTCATAGTTCAATGTAGCAGCTATACATTTGTAAGTATTATGCTTATTGTAAGACCTTTGTTTCAGTCTTCCTTCTTACCATATGCCATTTCTCAAACTTTTCTTTGTACATCATCCTTTGCACGAGCCCTGTTCCCACTTGTTTGGTTGCCACTTTCCATTTCCTCTTGAAATCTTTCAGGCCAATTGCAGTTCCACCCTTTTTCTTCAGTATGTGCTTTTATGTGCTTATGTATGTATTGGCCGGATTCATCTCCTTGGGAACCACTGTGACGCCATTTTCGCTGTACCACTGTTTGGTGAAATTTGAGTAGTGGCAGCCAAGTTCAGCCGGAATAGGCAATCCACCTCATGCTGCTCCAGAAAAGGCAGTATTTTTTCCGTAGGCACTCCTCCTGGTAAATTTGCTGGTTCATGGTCCCAGTTTCACTTTTAATCCCACAACTGCAGATTGCTTGCCAGGCAAGGAACTTTTCACTCTTCCGGTCAACCGAGGTATGAAATGTCTGCTCAGGAATTTGATCGTTCCGGTGAAGTCATGATGTAAACAAATTAACTTATCCTGACAACCAATGCCTACTGTGATTCTATACCCTCTTAGCTTGATTGAGAAATTTTGAAAACAAAATCACAAAAAAATGCCTTTATGGCAACGTTTTTTATGCGTCCGCATTTTTTGTGTTCAACCTTTAAGCTTATAA